TTTTATAAGCTTGACAACATCCCAGCAAACTATCCTTTTAAGTGTTCTAACTACCGTCTCACACAGAAAGTTCACTTGAGGCAGATGTGACACTATTCCAACGGAAGAATTGTGTTCCCGTGCAAGTCAGCATCGGGCCGTCACAATCACCTGACCCAATGACTGGACATGGCATTATTTAGGGAAAAAGCCATACATGCCCTTTCTAAAGGTACAAACTATCGCCTTAGAAGACTCTAATACCTTTTCATGATGGGTAAGTGTCTCTGAATATTTTAACTAATCCTCATATCTCGAACAACTTAAATTTCACCAGTGAGAGCTCATTTCTTACATCATGCTGATTAAGAAGCTTCTCATTTCACTGATATAAACCCATTTCTGACAGTTACTCTACAAACGACCAAAGCCTCCAGTGTGGCTTTGAATCACAGAGGTCCTTGTGGTGGCTGCCTCTGGAGCACGGCCCTTGCAATACACTGCCAATTCTCCCTGACATGAATTTCAAGTAGGGCAACTTAAGGGCCCCTAGATCTCAAGCTTGACACACTCAATATCATACTGTCTAGGTAAAGTATTTTTAAGTAAAATACCAACATAACAAACTCTACATTCCCAAGCAAGGGTTTAGTAACTCTAACTGAAACAGAGAGCCATGGATAAGTACTGAGCAATGAGGTTGTAGATATGTCTGGGAATTAATTAATGGAAAACATTGGCATATCATATATGATAGAAATGACCATTGAGAGAATCCATATACAGAATGGACTACACTAGGAAACAAAACTAACATGAGAGGTGATTAAGGAACTTTTCTTGACTTGTTTCTTTGTTTCTGATAGCCCTTGTTGAACACCTCCTCCCATTAAAAAATTACTACAAGTTCATTATGTAAAATTTGGAAAATATAAAAAAGGATATTGAAGAAAATAAAAATCCCCTTGAATCCTAGCTCTCAGTTAACATTTAGTGTGACCCCTTTCCATTTTCTTCCATTCCTACACATACAGCTTTTACAAAATTTATTTTCCACAGAATTTACTATGTTTAATTTTTTTCTAATCACAAAAGTAATGCATATTGAATTTAGAAAGCAGAAAAGCACAGAGAAAAAACAAATCTCCATAATCCCTTCACTCATAGGAACCATATTTTATTTGTACTCTGATCCCAGCAGCTAACACAAGGCCATAGTAAGCAGACTATGTTGTCTGCTTAATAAGTTCTCTGTAATAAAGAGATCGTTGGCCTGTACTGTACTTGGAAAGACAACATATTCTAAAACCAAAATTGTAACCATGGCTTAAAGGAAAGAAGGAAGCAAATCCATTTACATTAGAAAATGATTCTGAAGCTTATTCCTTGAATGCCTTAGCTTTTTATTGCAAGAATTGACCTTTCTCAGCAAGCATCCATTGCCCAAATTGTGCATCACATGCCAAGGAGTTAAGTCAGATTACTGCTATACCTCTCACAACCTAAATTCCACATCTCTATTTGTATTGCAGTGAAAAGGATTCATGGTGCACCAAGTCATTAAGGCTCTCAGATCTTTGCCACTTTTCATGGCAGCCCAACAGGGAAAGCCATTGTAGAGCAAAATTGGCCGTAGGATTAGAGAAGAAAGCCTTGTTTGCAAAGCTATTGCTGCTGTGTACACTACCTCCTGGGATGTGCCATGAATGGATTTAGATATAAATCTAAGGCTTTACAGACTTAGCACCCTCATCAAATAGTATTTATTGGGGGTTATGGCTGAGAGACTATTTTCCTTAGCAACCAGATGCAGCAGGAAATTTGACTGAGGATAAGAATTTTAACACAATTGCACATATTAACATTTTATGCAATGTCTTCTTAACCTAATAGCCTTAAAACCATACACTTAGTGCTGGAGTAGAAGAAATTTATAAAGACGGAGAGAATTTCAGTTCGACTGGATTTCCCAGTTATGATCAGGTGCATATTTTCTCTCAAATTTTCTAAAATCTACATTGGAGATATGCAGTGATTAATGTGATTTAAAATTTCTTCTTTTCTTTATCTTCCTGCAGCTAAACCAGGTCAAACCAGGAACAAGTTACAATTCAGGAAATATTTTCCACTTCTGATCACAAAACACACACACACACAAACACACAACACCAAGTAGCTATTATTTTCTGTATTTATGACACCCTAGTGAATCTCTTGAAATGAGGCTGAAATCTGTAAACTTCTGGGTTGAAATGAAGTTCATTCTTAGAAAGTAGTGGAAATAGAAATTTTGGACACTTGGGCAGGCTCTTTAAGAAACTGTTCTCTGAGATGAAGCAAAGGAGTCAGATATGGGCTTGAAAGAAG